CTTATTGTGAACTGGCTTACTTCATTTAGCACAATGTCCTCAAGAATCATCCCTTTCTTAGCATGTGACAGGATTTTCTTCTTTTTAAAGGCTTGATAATATTTCATTTTATGTATATACTACATTTTCTTTATTCATTCATCTTTTGATGGACATTTGGGTTGCTTCCACCTCCTGGCTATTCTGAATAAGGTTTTAATGAGTGTGGGTGAGCAAATCTCTCTATTTTGGATATTGACCCCTTATCAGATATTTGATTTGCAATTATTTTGTCCCATTCTGTATGTTCCCCTTCTACTTGAATCTCCTCCAGATTTCTATTAGCTATCTTCTGTATATTGACTTTTCTTTCCTAGTAAAAAATATACAAAATCCTTGCCATGCTAAATATCCCAAGCCTATATTATTCTACTTCTTTTCCTTTATGGCCTATTTTCTTAACAAGATCTTTTATATTTGGTCTCCAGTTGCTCACACCCAATCCACTTTTTCACTTCCCACAGTCTGTTTCCAATCTCACCATATTATTAAATTTAGTCTTTTGAAGGTCACCGAGCACCTATTAATTCCCAAATAAAGCTATGCTTTCTCATATCTCTTGGCCTCTCTAACAGCATTTGACAATGATTTATACCCCATTTTTCTTGAAAGCATCCCCTTGGTTTTCAAAACTGCCTTTTCCTGATGTTCCAGTTACCTCTCTAGTGGTAACGTCTCCCTTGCTGTCATCATTATTTTTAGAATATGAACCTCATCAGTGTAGACATTCCTTCAAATTCCCTTTTTGCTCTTTTCTCTCCTTTTACTAATTCACTCAATTCCAACACTTTTATTATCACCTGAAGGTGCTAAGCCTTTTAAATATCTCCAGATTCAATCTTTATCCTGACTCCAATCCTACATTTCTGCCTGCTGGTTGAACATCACAGTCATAGAACTTTGGAGCTGTAAGAAGCCTAGAGATCACCTCATTCAATGTATTTCAAACTGCTCCACAGCACCCCAGGGATTTCCTGCACACAGAGCAGGTGTGTCTGTATCTCAAGCAGCTCCGTTTTTTTCTGCATTGTTTGTTCATTTAATATGTATTCCTTGAATGACTCCTTAATGGCTTATAGAAATTTAAAAGATAATAACGTTATAAGTAATTTGATGTTAGTAAATCTGACAATTTTGATGAAGTGGACAATTCACTTAAAAAACACAACTTTTAAAAATGGACACAAGAAGAAATATCACTTTAATAGAAGTAAATATAGAAATATAACTATTAAAGATATTGAATTCAAAATTAAAACCTATTCCACAAAGGAAACATAAAGCCTCACTACTGAATTCTTCCAAACATTTACACATATTGTAACACCAATCCTATTCAAACTATGCCAAGAGTTAAAAAAAATGTTAACTCTTCTCAACTCATCTTTATGTCAAAATCAGAAAGAACACTACAAAAAAGTAAAACTGATGAAACTCATGAAAACTGATTCAAATATTAAATAAAATATTAGCAAATATAACCCAGCATGTTAAAAGAGAATAACACATTATAATAAAGTTGTGATTGTTCTAAAAATGCAGTTTGTTAAACATTTGAAAATCAAGCAATGTAATTTACTACATTAAAATGTTTTAAAGGAAGAAATGAAACTGTCTTTACTATCAGTCAACATGGTTGTGCACATAGAAAATTCACATGAATGCATGGATAAGCTATTAGAGTACATTTATTAATGTACTGGATACATAGTTAACAAAGAAAAATAAAATTTACAAATAAATAGAAAATAGAATATAAAAAACAACATATTTATAATAGTATCATAAAGCCACCAAATACATAAGAATAAATCTAAGAAAAAAAAAGAACTGCACCCAAATGCTCTAAAATATTATCAAGAAAATTTAATGAATACCTAAGTAAATGGAGAAATATATTATTTTCAAGAATTGAAAATTTTATGTTAATTGTTCTCAAATTGATCTATAACTCCAATCTAAATCTCAGCAGGGTTATTTTAAAAATAGAATTTGACAAGGGAATTCTAAAATTGAAAAGTACAAGTAAATACAAAGGGCCAAGAATGGCAAAAACAGCCTTGAAGAATAAAAACAAAGTTGAAATATTTACACTACCAGATCCCAAGACTTACTGTCAAGCTATAGTATTAAAACTTAGGTATGGAAAAAATAGAAACAGACCAAACCATGCATGATCACCAGATAAATAACAAAGTTGTCACTGAGGGGGGTGGGGGGAAAGGGGCGGGAAGAGGGGATGGTCTTTTTCATAGGTGATATTGGATAAGCTGGCTATTATTATGGGGAAGAATAAATATTGACTCCTATCACACATCAAACACAAATATAAACTCAAAATGAATTATTTCACTAAAGGTAAAATGCTAAAGCTAGAAGATAATATGTTCATGATCTTGGGGTAGGCAAGCATTTCTTAAGTAGAAAACAGAAAGCACTAACCATAATGACAATTGACAATTAGAGGTCATTAAAATTAGGATATTCTCTTCATTAAAATCACCATTAAGAGAATAAAAAGGCAAGCCATAGACTGGAAGAACATTTCTGCAATCCCTATATCCAATAAATGACTAGTATCCAGGTTATATAAAGAATTGATTATAAAAATCAATAAGAAAAGGGCACACAATCCAATAAGAAAATGGAGAAAGATGAACAAGCACTTCACAAAAGAGGAGATGCAGATGGTCAATCAGCATCCAAAAACTTGCTCCACATAAGGAAATTAAAAAACATTGAAAATTAAATGTACAATGAGATATTACTACATGACTATTAGAATGGCCATTATAAAAACCACCCCACAAGGTGGCAGTAGAAGGATTGGGAGGATATGGACAATTAGAACTCTCATTCATTGCTGCTAAGAGTATAAATTGGTACAACTTTGGAGGATTGTTTTGACAGTATTTACTAAAACTGAATATAAATATATCCTTTGGACTAACAGTCCTAACACTAGGTATATACAGAGGTGTATAATGTGCACACCAAAACCATATTCTAGAATGTTCCTACCAGCACTATTCATGAAAGCCCCAAACTGGCCCTAGCAGGTTTGGTTCAGTGGATAAAGCATTGGAGTGCAGACCAAAGGGTCCCAGGTTCCATTCCAGTCAAGGGCATGTACCTTGGCTCCTCCCAGCCTGGGCCCTGGTCAGGGCCCTTGCAGGAGGCAACCAATTGATGTGTTTCTCTCACATCTATGTTTCTGTCTCTTGCCCTCTTTTTTCCACTCTCTCTAAAAGATCAACAGAAAAATATCCTCAGGTGAGAATTAACAACAAAAAGCCCCAAACTGAAAAGAATTCAAAGGCCCTTCAAAAATCAACAAAATGGCCCTGACTGGTTGGGCTCAGTGGATAGAGCGTTGGCCTACGGACTGAAGGGTCCCAGGTTCCATTCCAGTCAAGGGCAGGTACCCTGGTTGCGGGCACATCCCCAGTAGGGGGTGTGCAGGAGGCAGCTGATGGATGTTTCTAACTCTCTATCCCTCTCCCTTTCTCTCTGTAAAGAAATCAACAAAATATACTTTTTAAAAAAGAAGAAAGAACAGTCCTTTCTTTCCTATTTAAAAAAAAATCAACAAAATGTACTTATAAAATATTGTATGTTCAGATAACAGAATACAACAAAAAAACCCTCTGCTACATGCAAAAATATGGATGAATCTCAATAGATGTCATGTTGACTGAAAAAAACAAACACAGAAGTATACATAACAAATGATTCTACGTATGTAGGAAAATGAAATGATGGTGACAGAAATTGCCTTTGAAGGAGCACTGAGAGGGAGCACAAAGTAGAGTTTGGGGTGCTGGTTTTGTTCTGTCTCTAGACTGGGTTGTAGTTACGTGTGTGTGTTTATTTTGTAGAATTGAGATTTTTGAACTACTGTTTTCTATACCTCTATGGAATTATACAACTATTAAGCATATTTGTTAAAAAATTAGTCTGAAAGTTTTACTTTTAAAAAAGTGTTGTTTGCTTTGATCAAATAAAAAGGAATTATGCAATTATTTTTTTCTTTTTGTATCCAGTATCAAAAAGCTTGGAGATAAGTTAACTGTTAATTGCAGTAACTATATTAATTTAAATGGTTTATTTCCTTCTTTCTCCTTCTAAATGGCTTTTGATTTTCTATTTCTAATTATTATATGTGTTTCAATTATACACCATCTTTAAGTTTTTTAGGAACAAATTATTGATAAAAATAAGTATAAAATGTACTGTTTTATCTAGAAAATGTGGTTACAATTTACTTTTTTATTAAAAAAAATGAACAGCAAAAACAGCAGAATGGCTTATCCTATTTTCATTTTAATTAAATGTAAAACACTAATATGACCAATAGAAGGAGGCAAAACCAAAGACTAAAATTTTCTTGTAATAAGTTACAAATTGTATTGGTTCTATATACTTATTAGTTATTGGTACATTAGTAAAAACTAGGTGGATTAATTTTTACATTTTGTGGTTAATTTTATAAATTTTGAACACATCTCCAGAAGTCACTTCAGTCTTTTCTTCTGCTTAATAACAGGGCAACTGAATAACAATGGATTTTTAATGCTATTGTTTTTCCTCCATAAAAGTAGATGCTAGAATCACTTTGGTATCCTAGATTCTAACATTCCTGATCTAAATTATTTTAAAGTCAACAAAATCCTTCTTATAATAAGTAAGCCATCTTTTCAAATTTGTTGAGTGTTGCCAAATGGACTATTTTAAATTAGTTTGTTTCCTACTCTACCATTTAATGGATAAACTGTTCCTTCCAGTTACAATGGGCTTTAAAAATTCCAGTGAATGAAATCTTTTTTTTTCTTTTTTATAATTCACAGGACTCTGCAGCCCCTGAGGAATATATACTCCTAAAATCTGATGAAGAGATCCTCATAAGTCCCTACTTGCTGTGGAAAAGAACAAAAGGATGAAATTAGTCGTCGCTGGATAGCTACTTTTAAAAATCAATTTTATTGAAGAATAACTTAATGTACAAAAACTTAATTCCATTTGAGTATAGAATTTAATGACGTGGGCAGTTGTATACACCTGCAAAACTACCACTACAATGAAGATACAGAACATTTCCACCACTTACAAAACATTTTCCTGCCCTTCTCCAGTCCAACTTCCATCCCTGTCACCAGGCAACCACAGCTCTGGGGTCTATAAATGAACTAATTTTTCCCCAAGTAGATATTCAGGTGTTCCAGCACTATTTCTTTAAGGGAATTTCTCATTAAAATCCTTAAATGCTTTGTCAGACATTAATTGATCATTCATATCTGGAACTATTTCTAGACTCTATCCTGTTGATCTATATAAGTCTATTCACACTGTCTTAGAACTGCTGCTTCACAATTAGTTTTGAAACCAGGTTCTATAAATTCACCAACTTTATTATTCTTTTTAAAAATTGCTCTGGCACTTATGATTTAATGAAACATTTGTATATTTATATTTTATGCCATAAAATGCAATTTGCTTCTAATAATGGTAATTTTTACATCTTAAACACTACCATAAACTACATAAAAATAATACTAAAGAAAATGGAATCTTTGTTATGATTATTTGATAGACTAACCAGTGATACATGGATATTAACATTCAAGAACCTCACTGATGAACGTGAGCTTACTGGAAACTTACTTCATGAACACGGGCAATTTACTTAGCCTCCATAAGCTTAATTTCCTCATTTCTATCATGTCATCGACCTCATGGGGTTATTGTGAGGCTCCTGAGATAACATGTGAGCACACATAGCACACACAGTAAGCACTCAATAGTTTGCTGTTAATATTATTACAGTGCGTCAGTATGTCACATCTTGGATATATAAGACTTTCATAAATAAGATCAGAGGAGAGTATTTCATTCATGCATTATATAAATGATGATTGGGGAAGGCTGTTAAACAAATGTGGAATATTTTTTACATTATGATTTTGATATATTTCATCTTGGAATTAATTTTTAAAGTGAAAGTAATTGCCAAAATTAGTTACACATTATTTTTATATTTAAATAACAAACTAAAAGAATTTTACATCAGTGATGGCATTAAGACAGTATTGTCTAACTCCCCAATGGTTTTATACCTGGAACCTGCTAGCTCTCTTCCCATCTCATTCTCCTCTGACAAAGGCTGTTGGCTTTGTTTATTCTTTTCCTTCTAGAAGTAAAAAGCGTGTGTTATCAACTTGGTAGCATTTTATTCAACAATGCAATAAAAATTTACATTTGTAGTGGTGTAACCTATTAAAAATCAGAATTTGATTATCATCTCCATTAATACCCAGAAGTAAGAATTTCTCTAAAAATAAACTAATCCGACCTAAGGGGTAAATCTCCTAGAGGCCAAATCTAGGAGCAGGGAGTGAGTTTTTCTTACAAATGACACTCAATATTGAAGCGCTTTCTTTTTCTAATTGTATGTTTTAGCCAATTTTGAAATGTTTAAATGACCTCACTAATAAAATACTAAAAACTTAATATAGAATCAATGATTAGAGTTTGAGTGTGCACTGATGGATATTTGGTCTCTAAGAAAAACATGCTTTAAATAAAATTTAATTGCACGTTAATAAAACAACTTTGAGGCTAGCCAAATAATGAATCTCCTGTCTTAGAGATTTTTGATGACAGAGCAGGGAACATTTGGCAATGTCTGGAGACATGTTTGGTTGTCTTAAGTGGGGAGGAGGAGTGGGAGGTGCTACTGGCATCTAGTGAGTAGCGGCCAAGAAGGCTGCTAAAGATTCTGCAATGCCCAGGATGCCCCCACAACAAAGAACTATTTAGCTCCAATGTCAACAGTGTGAGAAACCCTGACATACGATTACCTTTCTCGATGAATTCCAAAACCACCTCATTTTCTACATGTGCAGACTAAAATAAAAGGAATGGAAGGACCCTAAGATGTTTCTTCCTTTTGGATTCTTCTTATAAGCCTTTGCCTATCTTCAAATAAGAAATATGCAAGAGCACGTGTAAGCAAATATGAGCTCCAGTGCTTTTTTTTTTTTCTGGAATGTGCTCTGAAGGATCTGTTTCTCATATCAGTGCTTAGTATGATTTTCACAGCACAGTTACATCTTGGTCTACAGTCGACCCTTCAATCGGGATATGCTTTCTATGTGAGCTATTAAATTGGAGTGTGAAAAACCCTGAGAGGCACCTGATTTTTAAAATAATGGCAGGCTCACTTTCTAATTTTTTTGATTGCTAAAAATTGCTTCTGTTTAAGGCAGTTATATCTGAAAAGGGAACTCTAATGACTGTTCAGGACACAGTGCTCTCAAGAACTCACATTAATCCAGTGATGTTTTCCTAATTTTCAAGTACTTACATCTAGTAGAGATGAAATGCTGAACCTATTATAACACAAAGAGAAGAAAAAAAATTAGGTAACACCTTGCTCTTAGATTTTTATAGGCTATACATTTCATTAAGCAGATTTTTCTGGCCTACATATCCTGCTACTCTGAGCTCCTCTGGAGGTCATGGTCATGTCTATGTCATTAAATTCCTAGCAAGAACCATTACATTTACCTGAGTTTCGATTGGATAATTAAAGCGATCAATGACAAATGAATGCTTCTGCATTTTTATTCCATTTGCTTAGTGTTAGCAAGACCCACCTTAAAAGGGGGAAAAAAATTAGGTATGGATTTAAAGAGCAACTCATCTGCTAGGGATTGAGAAGCTGCATATAGAAAGAGCAATAAGCCATTCTCAGTTCCCAGGCTCTGGATCCATTCTGGAAATACATTTTCTCTCAGAATCTCATTATCTTTAAGTCCTTGTAATTATTTGCTGAACTTCATTTGCCTTATTTTGCTTACTTCCCGAGTTCTCTCTTCTGTTGGATACTGTTGACACCTAGCAGGGACCTTGGAAGATGAGCTAGGCATTTCTTCTAGGCGTGGAGGAGTTTGGATTCTATGCTGCACATTTTACTGGAAAGTCATGAGAGGAACCACAGGAATATAAAGGTAGAGCTTTGGGATATTCAAGGATGCAAATACCTAAAGCAGGAAGGGCATTTCTGATTGAAATGCTGGGTAAGAGAACTACGCAATACCATTTTTTTTTAATTGCAAACCTACCATGTAATAGGTATCTCATCCATATTATAGCTCATATATTCCTTACAAAACTGTAACAAGATAGATATTATCTCCATTTCACATATGAGAAAACCGAGTTTATTTGCCCGAAGTCACACACAGGTGGCAATCGTATTTGAACCCAGATTTGTCTGGCTCAGAGTTTAATGCGCCTCCCGGCTATTCTGCTATGCCTCCAGGGAATGTTTCAGGTGTCTGGACCTACCCTGTTCATTAGAGTAGCCATTAGTTAAATGGGGCTAGTCTGAACTGAGATGTGCCACAAAACATACACTGTTTTGAAGACTTATATTACCCAAAAAAGTAAAATATCTCCATAATTTTAAAATATGTATCTCAAGTTGAAATGAATATTTTGGATTTGTTAGATTAAATATGTATTATTAAAATTATTTAATAAATTAGTTTTTGTTTTAATGCAGCTACTAGAAAGATTACACAGGTGGCTCGCATTATGTTTCTGATTTAGATTATTTCTACTTAGGTTCCCAAAAGTAAAATTTTAGGGTTTCAAAGGTATATTTTCAGGAATTTAAGTCATTAATAGTTACTCAATACTTCTTAATTTACTGTGTTCTAAATGTAATAAACAGAAATCTTAAATTCCTTAGGCAGAAAGCACTTGATATTACACAGGTTGAATGGTCATCTGGTCATCCTACAGAGGGGTTAAAGCATTCCACAATAAACTTATTATAGTAAAGGCATAATCAGTGACTGTGATCATGCTTTGTACCTCCAAGTTCCACCAATTCCTAGAGCCATTTTAGGCAGGGTGAAGGTGGTGTATGTGTTGATGGGGAATCAAGAACTGATACAGAGGTTTCATTTTGATATGGGACTGAATCAGAGTACATGCTACTTCTCTGGGTTTCTTTTGATCATGATGTCCTAGCATAGTGGTGGATATTGTGCTAAATGCCAACACATCCATTTAGACTCAAAATAAAGACTCAAAATCCCATCACTGTGGTAGGTTGTAGGCCAGTAAACTCTCCAGAGAATTGTATTTAAGATTAAAAATAACAAAGCCATTTTATTTCACTGTGTGCCTATGAATTATGATGTGTCCCTTAAACAATCACAAAAAAGGCATATAAGTTAATCACAATTAAGGCCTTAGTTATGAAAAGCATATACTTTATTTTTTTTTTAAGTACAAGATATGAGAAAATTTTGTTTGCAAATTGAGTTATTTAGCCTTCTTAAACTAGAAAGTACAGGTAAGTAATATAGTAAAAAGCGTGATTAGTGAATGACTTCTGTACACAGAAGAGTCTAGTAAATATTAAGAAAAGTATAAAGGAAGCAAATGATATAAACTCTGCCCTAAGGGATAGAAAGGATTTCCATGCACTAGGTTAGTGTTGAGGCCTGAAAACCAGGGAGTAGTTACATGTCAACTCACCTTCTGATCAGAAAATAGGTGGCTTCTTTGGCCCTACACTTAAGTGGAAAGCTTATATAAAATCATGGATGCAACTCATTCCCAATTAAGAAAGGAGCCATGGGCTCTTTGCCTTCCAGATAACCAGGCAGCCTCATTTAACAGTCTACTGGGATAGGAGGGGTCCTGTTATACCGTCTATTAGCTGTATCTGTCATCTGGGTCAGATTAAATACAAAGCAACTCCCACTTTCTGCCAAAACCCTTGTATCAGAGATACTGATACTCTGAAACCCAGACATCTCCTTGCCAGGTATCACAAAACAACTGAAGTTCTCCTAACTCTTGAGACCTGTTTGTCACAATGATTCAGTCCATATATTACCTTGAACTTTTCAGAGATCATGCAATTTTATTCTAATCTAAAAATTGCCACACATATTGATTAAACAACATTACTTAGTCTAGGTTGGGTTACAAGTGCTGATTCAAAATAGACAGACATTGAAAAAATATAATTGAAATAAGGGATCACTAATTTAGTGCCCTTTGTCTAGTGTTAGTTCTGGTGTTGAGAAGATATGAGAAAAGCCTTCAGGAATAGTCACAGAAGGGCTTGGTAGTCAATGGGAAACTGCTGCTGGAGAGAGTGAGAGAGCAGATACTTAATAAGTATATGCTAGATGAACAAATATGCTATGGATTCAAGGATGCTATATACAGTTAAGAAAAGAATTCATGCCTTTTTTGTTGTTGTTCAAGACTTTTTTTTGAATATTTATATTTATGCTTTTGTCACTATCCACACTGTAGCTTTTATAAAAAGCCCAAGCCACGGGGCGGTTCTAGCCCCTGTAATACAATCATCATCCCCTCACTCTTAGAATTCCTTTTCACTTGATCTTAGCCAAAAGGCCGAGAAGCGATTTAGAATTCCTTTTCGTTTGTCACTTGGCCTTTGTGTGGTTTGTATAAAAAGAGGACCCTGGAAAATCAGTACTTCCTGTGAACGTGAAAGGCTATAAGAGCAGTGCCCAAATCTGCAGGATTAGGCAGGTAAAACCAGCAGGGTAGCAGATATATTACGATCTCTTGGACCAAGGTTTAGTTGTAGGCATGTGTAAAAGTCATGCTAACTCACCAGTAGAATAAGGATTACGTAGGTGGACCCGGGTGAGGTAGGACTGTCCTCAGGACTGGGTGAATTGTGGTAGGAGAGGCAGTATATAACATTCATGGATTAAACATCCAGCTAACTACTTTCCTAAAAGTCTAGGTTCTAAAACACAAAGATCTAGGCTCTAGACTTTATTAACTTATGAAGATTCAAGTCACTACGTTAGCTCTTATGGTTTAAAATGAAAGCAAATGGCTATGATAGCTGAACTGCACCAGTATATTTAAGACTTTTAAATTGAATTCTGAATTGCTTTACCTTATAAAAATACATGTCATTATACTAAATGCTCAACAAAAATTCAGGATGGGGATATTTAAAAATACATTTTCCTTGGATCAGCACCAAAAATATCAGTAGTTTTCTGTACAACCCATGACAAATTTTTAAGTATAGGTAAGTTAAAATTTTTCTGATAAAAACCACAGAAATAATTTAAGATATATCCAAACAACTTTCAAATACATTCTGACATCAAGGTCAGCCAATTCACTTGGAAGGATATAACGAGTACCACTGAATTTTTGTAGTAAGACTTTTGATGTCAACTTTGTCTTATGGGGATTTTTGACATTTCACAGAAAGGAGGCACTGGTACTAAATGATTAGAACCATTAAGACTGAGGTGAAGAATTTGTGCAGCCTTCCACAATTTCAAAGAGGTAGTGATAGATACTTGTCCTCCTGGCAATGTCAAGTGCAGTTTCCTCCAAGGTGTTTTTCAGACCTGGTTTGACGTAGCGGTTCATCAGGAGGAGTTCTAGGGTATCTTTGCTGTCTCTGTTTCCAGCAGCAAGGTGTAAGGGGGTCAAGAGGCCTTTTGTCTGGGCATTGATATCTGCATCATGCTGAAGGAGGAAAGAAGCTACTCTAGCATTATTCCACTTACAAGCACTGTGCAGGGGTGTCCAGCCATCCACAGTCACCGCATGAACATCTGCTCCGTGTGCAATTAGCTCACGGACAACCTCTAAGTGTCCGCCATAGGCTGCTCGATGAAGAGGCGTATACTCATCTTCATCTCTAGTGTTCACAAGAGTGGCCTTTTCAGAAAGTAGTCTCCGTACTGTAGACAGCTGAAAAGAAAAGAGAGATATTTAAAAGATCCAACTCAAAACTAAACAGTAAATCAAGGAAATTAAACTGTCTAGTGGTGTTAGATTTAATGAAGTTAAAAAAAAGCTTGTTAGCAGATGACTTTAAAATGAAAACAAGATTTCATTTTTGGAGGGAGAGGGTCAATGATTTAAGAATGAACCAGTTAGTGTTAACCATAAACTGTTGACTCTAAGAATGTGATTCTCTGAATATCAAACTATATATTTACTCCCAGGTCCAACTAAGGCTTATTGCATAAAAGCTTTAGTCCTAGATGAATAATTATATTTAATCTTTTATATGTCACTGTAAAGAAAACATAACAGGTTGATTTTTTTTCTGAGGAGCAGCACACCAATGTACATAATGTATAAAACTTTAAAAAATAAACTTCTTTATCAGAGTGTAATGGTAACAGAGAAATCTAGAGATTAAACAGCTCAATTCCTTCTAACTAAAACAACCTAAGACATGTTTCAAGGAAGTTTGGTCTATGGACCTGCGGTGGAATACAGTGTGCTCTTGGGTTAAAAAGTTATGCAAAAATGCAAGGCATTTTACTTATTAGTTTATTAAGACACATGAGGGGACTTAGCAAAATGAGGTGAAAGTGGCTGCATGGGAAGAACAGACTTTTGATGTTAAGTAGGACCATCCTACTTGGATGATCCTGGGCAAATTAATATTCCTGAATCTCAATTTCTTACTCTGTAAAAGGGAATATTACCTATTTTTAGGAATATAAAAGCATTCAATCAAATAATAAGGCATATGGTATAGTTGGTATCCAACAAATGTTAGTTCCCATCCTCCTTTTCCTAAATAATACTTATTTCTAGGATGATCCTGACAATATAAATGATTTAAAAATACAGATGATTGCTTATGATCTTCATAGTTAATTATCCTTAAATCCCCCCAAATACCTAATTTGACTTTTTGTAGCTGAACATGTACTTTCATGTACATTGCCTCATTTGATCCTCAAAACCCTGCATAAAAGAGGCAGATATTAAAATGGCCACTTTTACTGATAAGAAAATAGAGGTTCAGAAATAGGATTTCCCCAGAGTTACAGATCAAATAGAGGCTCAAGGACAGGTCTTCTGGCTCCAAATCAAATACTTTTCCTATTATATTATGGTTTCTTCCTTAACTGTTTTTTGTTTGTTTACCCGATTGTTTTCAGCAGCCCAAAGAAGCAATTTGCTTGGATCGTTTTCCATTTTTTTTTCTTTGAATTGATACCACTCTTCAGTCTTTTCATCTTGTTCCTCATCTTCATCAGAATTCCCTACCCAGAGACTTTGGGTGCCAGTGGGGATAAGATGTCCATGTGTTTCCAACAACTCAAGTTGGTTAAAGTGTTCAGCAAAGTCCAAGGAATTCTCCGGGTTTGGTTGTCCATCATTTACTTGCTCTTTTTCCATTTTTACTACTATTCTACACACAAAGCATTTCAAATACCAGCGTATAAATAACCTTTTTAGAGATGAATTATGTCTGCTTTATTTTATCCATCAAGATCTGAAAACACAAACAAAAAATGATTAGGAAAACAGTAATTGAGGCTTTATTAACATCATATATAAGTCTTATAAACACACACACAAATAAACCTTGTCTAAACTTTTTGGTATTTATTGATACCCTTTACATTTACTAGATATCAGAGTTGATGGATTTCAGTTATCTATATATTTAATAACCTAATATTTCTTTTTTGTTATTGTTTGCTTCTACTAAGACAGTGGTTATAACTGTACAGTCATATCTCATTTTATTGTACTTCACTTTATCATGCTTCACATTTTTTTTTTTTTTTTTTTTAAAAATTGAAGGTAAGACCCTCCACCAGCAAAAAGATTACCATTTGCTTCAATGCGGTGGTCTGGAACTAAACCCACAATATCTCTGACGTATGGGTATATTTATTTTGAACCTATTGGTTTAGATACTGTTGTATTATGCTAAGGGTGATAAATGCTTGAAGCTTCTAAATTGTAACTAATAAAGACAGGCACATTTTAAAAATCCTCAGCCGAGGATATGCTTATTGATGTTAGAGAGAGGAATAGAGAGAGGGAGGGAGGGAGGGAGGGGGGGGAAGAGAGAGAGAGAGAGAGAAGAAGAAACAGAAACATAGCTGAGAGAGAGAACATTGATTGGTTGCCTTCGGTACATGGCCCAACTGGGAATCGAACCTGCAACCTAGGTATGTACCCCGACAGGGGACTGAGCCTGCAACCTTTCAGTATACAGGATGATGCTCCAACTGACTCATCGACCAGGGCAAGCCAGACACATTTTAATCTAGACACCTAGATGCTATAGAGAGGACACAAAAACTTCTAAACAAAAACTACTTAAAAGAATCAGGGATCCTTAGAGATAGAATAGCCCTCAAAGGACATGTGTCCCAAACTCTTCATTGCAGACCTATCTTTATCATGACATCTGTAATAGTTATCCTATTTCTACTTAAATAATTTCAGGCTTGGGAAAACTTATTGCTTGAAAAGTAGTCCTATTCACTGATATACAACTATAATTCTTAATTAGCTTATTGTTTTGAAACTGAATTTTGGCTGTCATTCACGCCTTCGTTTAAGAAATATGAATAGAATGCCTGTCTCTGGCTCCTGGGTTTCAATAATGAACAAGATCCACATCGTAACCTCGAGAAGCTTACTGTCAAGTTGGAGTGACCGGAAGACAGCCGGTTAAAGGCTACAACAGGACCATGTCCAGGTACCATGAGCATTCTGGAGGGCCGCCATTAGCCCAGTCCTAAGGGGCTAGAGAAGGCTTCCCAGAGGAAGTGATGCTTATTTTGCTGGGCTGCCATACTGATTTATAAATCAGTATCAGCTTAAAGAGTTACATGGCATATTAAACTTCAACCAAAGAAAATGAGAAGAAAAAGTATTTTAAAAATACCATTTTTACTTATCGAAGTGATCACTATGTAAGGTATAAATGTCTAATCACTTTGTACACCTGAAACTAATATAATGTTGTACGTCAATTGTAACTGAAAAAATACATTTTTTTAAAAAAAATACCATATTTTTAGCCTCCCAACTATATTTGTTTGAATTCTTATCTTTTCAAGGCTCTTCTCAGATGTTGTCTTTCATTAAGTCGTTCTTAATCCTCAAATTAGATCCCTCTCAAATTCTACATTTTTTGTGCTATATATGGTTTTATTTCTCCACTAATTTTGTTTTTTGGCTTCTTAAAATATAGTAAGTGTAAGTACAGGGACTATACTTAACTTATAATTATGTCCCACTTAAATACAGCAGGAAATATTGTAGAATTAAATTTAAATAAGGCCCTACATCACTTGATTTTGATTTGAATGGATTCTGAGAAGTTGGAGAGTTAGTCATACCCCTATGATACTTATTTCTTCCTACCTAATTTTACAAGTTTGAGAGTATACCATCCTAATGCGGTAGACGTTATTAGTAGTGCCAAGAGCATTAAACTTGAGTTTAAGCCTATCACTCATGTCTAGTGCCTTCTCTGAGCCTGTTATTTCATTTTAAAATGTTAAGAAGGATTTTACTAAAGAATTCCCAAGGCCTGTCCAGCTTTCAGTCTATGAGAGACTCTCAGAACTGCTTTATGTTTTAGTAGTTCTCACTTTTTTCTTTGTTCTCAAACCATGCCCTGAACTTTGCAACACAAAAATGACCATACATCTAATCATGAAACAATAAACACCAGTACATAACATGAACTAGTTATCATATCAATTTATAGAACAGACCTCGTGGGCCACCTCTCCTTTTTATAACGCCTCTCTTCTTGTAAATTTTGAATTTACTGCTCCGGATACAATAAACTGCACATAAAATTTTCTTGGTGGATTTAGTCTAAAACAGTTAAAGCCAGGTGCACGCCCTGGTTCAGGATTTTTAAAAGTCCATCAGGATTCTTACTTGGTGGTATTCCACTAGGGAGAAATAGGGTGGGGTTTTGTTTTGTTTTTTTGCTTTTTTTAAAAATAAGGTGTTTCTTAACCTAATGGACACATACACGACAGGTGGGGCCATAAACCCCAGTTTACAGGTGAAGGAGCGGAGGTTCGGAGAGAGGAAAATAACTTGCCCTCGATTAAGGAACTTCAATAGAACCGAAAGCCCAGATTTCCTCAATTCAAAGTTTCACTTCTTTTTTTACCGCACTAGACTCTCCTGCTGTCAGCACAAAGCCATGCGGATGCGCTCCATCCGAGGTCGCGGGCTCAGGGAAGCGGAGAACGGCCTGTGAGACGGAAGGTCTCAAAGTTGCACCTCCGGGGAGTGGGAGTGACGGGGGGACGTGGGGGGGCACCTGCCCGGCCCGCCGGGACCCGGGCCACTTCCCAGGCCCGGCGTCGCCTCCCCGGCCTTGGGAACCACCAGGAGCAGAGTAACGGCTCCAGCCCCACCTAGAACCCGCGACGCGGCCGGCGGGGTCGACAGGTGACCCGCCCAGAAGCGGCCAGGCCTCAGGTGGCCCCAGGCGGCCAGGACGAGCCAGGAAGAGTTACCCACCTTACGGAGGGGAGTTCGCCGCTGCAAACCTCGCTTCCGGGGTTCGTCCCCTCGGCTGCTCGGGATTGGCTCCTGTGCGGGGGCGGGGCCTCGCTGCTAGTTTCCCAGCTCCCTCACGGAGCTCGACAGCCAATGAGAGCCGAAGAGGGCTTGAGGCGCCTACGTCATCAATGAGGTATCGCGAGAGGGAGCGAACTGGCTTCTGGCTCCCGCCGAATTCGGGTTTCTGTCCAAGCGGACCTCAGAGGCGAGCTCTGGCCGGGCTGTTGCTTTTCTGCTCACGCATCTCACTCCTTTCCGGGTAAAAGACAGCCTCGGTCCCGATGGTGTAGCTTCGGAGAGACCTAAGAGTGGGGTAACTCAGGAGTCGTACCCGCCTCCTATACGTGCAGAATCTCGGGCGGAAGCCCCGAGTGGCTCACCCTCTGAATAGAATGGGCTGGGTGGGCTGGGAGGAGTCCTGGGGGGTTCCGCGTTCTGCTGCCCAGAGTCCGGTGGCGGCGGCGGCCTGATGAGGCTTGAATTCCCGGCGCTGCGAATCTGTACGTGGGAGAGGTTCTGCCCCAGCAGCCTCTCTCCCACATGTGCTGCCCACTCGTCCCGCTGGCGGCGGAGCGTATTTCTCCGCAGACCACGTGTTTCTGTTTATTTGCTCTAGCGTTATGGGTGCGGCCGTGCATTCTCTGTTCAGAACTATCCCGTTCCTTTGCTGTCTGAGCCGGAAGTGCGGGGTCGCCTCCCGGTTGCAGAGTAGCCTGCCCAGGCTCCGTGAACATTCACTCAGAGTTGTTCGTGTGCTAAACCAGAACCACATTTTGCCCATCAGCTTAACAGCTTCCCACAGGGAAAGGGAGGTGGTCCACGAGCTTAATCATAAACTAAAACGGCACGAGAGATGTGCTATTTTCTATTCTTAGCTCTTAAAAAGTACAGTAGGTACTTGGTTGAAAATGAGACTCGTCCACTATTGCTAGTCTGCTTTTTTAAAAAAAATGCGTGTTTTGTAATAATGTAATTTTGTTTTTAGAATTTGGAATCGAGTGAGTTTTCTGACTTTTGAGCGCAGAACCGGGGATTACTCGGCGAGAAAGCTGGTCCTAGAGGAACTGGCCTGACCATAGAAATGAGTCCTGCAGATGCCCTGTAAGCATCCGTCTTCTGGAATCTTTTTTGTTGCTCTGGGTTTTTTAAAGCCCATCAACTAAGATCACCCCAAAAGAAAACTGATTTAATAAATTAGCAGTAAGTAGCTTAACGGAGCAGAAGTGATAGTCATCAAAAAGAATATTTGGACTGTTTAAAAATTAATACTATGTGTTTATTAACTGAAAGATTGGGTCTTGCAGCAGTTTGATTATGTTGCTATAGTATGTAAGTTTATGTTTCTTAGGTTTGTCTTAAAGTATATTCTTGAGCTTTAAATATTCTTGAGCTTTCATGGTAAAGTCTTACTAGTCAAGGCAAGTCTGCTGAAGCAAATTTTTAGAGGAGTAAATTGCTCTAGTGTTGAATAAATTGTAAATGATTTTGGGAAAAAAGAAAATAAGTAAAAGGACAAGGAACAGGTATGTGGAAAAGCTTTCGACTTGGAGTCTTTCACCCTGGTTTTAATTTCTTGGTTAATACTATGACCTTAAGCAAGTTAGCAATTTTCTAAACTTTGCCTCAGTTTCTTCATTTGTATAATTGGAATAAAAATGTCTTTCCTAGATTAATTTTGATGTTTAAGTGAGAGAATCCTATGAAAGTAATTCATAAGTTGCTGTGGAAGCATAGGGTAGTAATATGAGCTGAAAATATTCAGACCTGCCTGTGTGTACATAGCAATCAGAACTGTGTGCAAAGCATTTTTAAACTTTCTGAAGATAAATCTTTTCTGGAAGAATCTCTTGCATATAAAGATTTGAAGTGCGTGTATAAAATATATATTTTGAATTATATATACATATACATATGTATATCCTATATAATAAAAGCCTAATATGCAATTCAACCGAATGGCGGAACCACTGGTCGCTATTACACGCACTAATCAGGGGGCAGACACTCGACATAAGAGCTGCCCCCTGGTGGTCAGTGCACTCCCACAGGGGGAGCACCGCTCAGCCAGAGAAGCTGAGCTCATGGCTGGCAAGCACAGCAGCAGTGGAGGAAGCCTCTCCCGCCTCCTCTGCAGCACTAAGGAACAGCGAGCTGAGCGGTAAGGAGCCAGGGGTCCCAGACTGCGAGAGGGCGCAGACCCAGCTGAGGGATCCCCCCCTCAGCCCCCCCACACTTCGTGCACTGGGATATATATATATATAAACGGTTTAGTGAAAAATAGCCTGAATCATCCACAGATTGATTCCATGATTATTTCTTGATTCCATGATTATTTCTTTGCCCATTCTTCTCTTTCTTTTCTTTCCTGAATAACCTCTTTCAGATATGGTTCAAGGTAGAATTTACCCTCCACATATTTTATGTCCACTGCTCTTTAGGCAAGATCTGCTGCCTCACAGACAGGTCCAATGCACTCTTAATGCAAAACACCTTGTCATTATACAGGTTCTCAGCGAACTCCCTTATGGCTTCTTTTACATCTTCATCCACACGTATTGTATTGTCTTGCATTAACCCCAGTTTATTGAATCATGCAGCATTGTAATACCATTTTCAAATACCCTGTAGCCACTGGCTTGATGCTGCAACAGCAGGCTGGCTCAGTATTTTGACCAAGGTTTTACATTTTTTAAGCAGTCACAGACCTTTTAAAAATTTGTATACGTTTGTTATGTATTGAATTAGTGGTAGGCAAAACTATGTGACATTAAAGATCTTTTGAATACTTCAAATTCAGACTTAGTTTAAAACTAGAAAAGTGATTTACTCCAAAGTGATTTATTGCCATTATTTGCTTTATAAATTTAGATTTCAATTTACTTGAACATTCTTTTAATGAGTTATATTGAAACATTTCTTCTTTTTTAATGCAGTGATGATGAAAATACATTTAAAATTTTAGTGGCAACTGACATTCATCTGGGATTTATGGAGAAAGATGCAGTCAGAGGAAACGATACATTTGTCACACTTGATGAAATTTTAAGACTTGCCCAGGAAAATAAAGTAAGTTTGGTTTAATGTTTTTCAGTGTTCCTTACTCAGCAGGCTCTTTTCCCTTCTTGAAATTTGAGGTTTGTTTTATATGCTTATGTGCTCACATTGCCTATTTAAATATCAATATACTAAAAACCCAAAGCAGGTTTTGTGTGCTTTGTGCCCTTAATTCAAGTAGGAGTTACTTTTGAAAATAGTCTGTAAAGATTTACAAATATTGATGGGGCATTTTCTGAGTGCAGAAATGTCATAGTTTCTACTTTCAAAAAACATATAGCAGCCAAATTTGAGATAAGACAAATATCCAAAATGCTCAGATACAAGGTCATATGTGATAAAAGTCATAAGAAAATTATTAAGAGCCTTTTCTGGAATTTTAAAGGAGGAAGAGATGGTATTTAGAAGGGGATAGCAAGATGAGTTCAATGAAGGAGGTAGCATTTAACTTGAGCTTTTGATAGGTGAAGAGTATAGAGAAAGTACATGTCACAGGAAGCAGGAGGAAGGGCACACAGGTAAGCCGATATGATGTATGTCGGGAACAGCAGGTCTGGTGCACTCACTGGTAGGCCATGTGTTTGTTAGAAAGCATCTTGAAAGACCAGAAACCTGATCTGAACTGCATTGAGGGGAGCTTCAAATGCCAGATTGAGGAGTCTGTACCCTATTCAGTAGCATGTCTTCTGGCAACAAGGAATAGCATGAATTGGAGACCAGTTTGAGACCTCTTTAAAGTGATAGCGTGGGATGGAAAAGAGGAAGTGAATGCAAGAGATATTCCAAAGGTAGGATTTACATACTTTGGTTAGTTGTAGGAGGTGGGGGTGAGGGAAAAGAGGATGACTGACTGAAGTGTGTTAAGATTGGGTGAATGTGAGCCACTTGGCCTGGAGGTCAAACCCTCCCTGGAATTAGCTACAACAATCAAGATTTAACTATAAGACTGCGAACAAAGACCACTAGGGGGTGCACCAAGGAAGCATAACAAAATGCAGAGACAAAGAAACAGGACAAAATTGTCAATGGAAGATATAGAGTTCAGAACCACACTTTTAAGGTCTCTCAAGAACTGTTTAGAAGCCACCGATAAACTTAATGAGATCTACAAGAAAACTAATGAGACCCTCGATCTTATATTGGGGAACCAACTAGAAATTAAGCATACACGGACTGAAATAACGAATATTATACAGACTCCTGCCAGCAGACCAGAGGAGCGCAAGAATCAAGTCAATGATTTGAAATGCGAGGAAGCAAAAAACACCCAACCGGAAAAGCAAAATGAAAAAAGAATCCAAAAATGCGAGGATAGTGTAAGGAGCCTCTGGGACAGCTTCAAGCGTACCAACATCAGAATTATAGGGGTGCCAGAAGATGAGAGAGAGCAAGATATTGAAAACCTATTTGAAGAAATAATGACAGAAAACTTCCCCCACCTGGTGAAAGAAATGGACTTACAGGTCCAAGAAGCGCGGAGAACCCCAAACAAAAGGAATCCAAAGAGGACCACACCAAGACACATCATAATTAAAATGCCAAGAGCAAAAGATAAAGAGAGAATCTTAAAAACAGCAAGAGAAAGAAACTCAGTTACCTACAAGGGAGTACCCATACGACTGTCAGCTGATTTCTCAACAGAAACTTTGCAGGCCAGAAGGGAGTGGCAAGAAATATTCAAAGTGATGAATACCAAGAACCTACAACCAAGATTACTTTATCCAGCAAAGCTATCATTCAGAATTGAAGGTCAGATAAAGAGCTTCACAGATAAGGAAAAGCTAAAGGAGTTCATCACCACCAAACCAGGATTATATGAAATGCTGAAAGGTATCCTTTAAGAAGAGGAAGAGGAAGAAAAAGGTAAAGATACAAATTATGAACAACA